TGCTAAAAACCTCTGTTCTGATACAGCTTCCTAGCAGCATGCAAGTTCTGGATAACTAGTAGTCTACCTGCGCTGCCGTTCCATTGAGGAAGGACTGATGTCATTAAGCAGAAACTGGTGCAGTGGATACAAGTTCTGACCACCCAGCACTCCGGTCTGCATAACTCCACCCTCTGTGATGCTTCTCTGTAAAAGGTCTTCCCTCCCACCTCTGTGCCTGTGGACCCCAGGCTGCCAAAATGGGGGTACAGCCAGTCCTCCCATACTGGGCACCAGCCTCCATCAGTTCAGCAGGAGAGCCTGGCAATGGCCACACTGGAGGTGGGGGATTATGCTCTGGTTTATGGCATAAAGAGACATTTTGCTTATCTTTGGTCTGTAGGCTAATCCCTCTGATCCTGACAATTAAAATATAGCTCTGTACTGCTGGCACAGGGCTGTCCCTGGTATATTGATATAGCGAAACAGAGTGAGTTGCTCCTCTTTCTCTATATCAGTCTGCTGGGAACAGCCCTGGCAGAATTATATTTTAAATTGTTGGGAGCTTTGGGACTACTCCATTGACAGAAGATAATCAATTTCACTGCCATATGCCAATGCATACACTCTGGAATGAGCGGCCTGCTGGTGGTTGGCACGCTGACCCTGCTGAATATAGAACAGGAGTTGATTTGCACAGAGTAAGTAATGTGGCCCTAACTGCTACTCTTTCAGTTAAGGCCCTATTCATACTTGAAAATGGGGCCATATGTGAACTTGTGCGTGAACCCCAGATGCGTGCTTGTAATCGATAAAGCAGTGTTTACCTGTAAATGATTGGCCCTGGACGCAAACTGGTCAGGAAATTGCTCCATGACTGATTACATGTGACCGACTATGATTAGCTGCAGGAGCTGTCAGTCTCCCATTGCTTTCAATGGGGCTTCCTCCCATGGATAATACCCAGGAACCCCCACTGGGTTCCCGCACATGATTGCACATGGCCACATTTGCTAGTGTCAGGACAGTACTGTATATTACTGTTTTAAAGCTCATAGCTGCACTGTCTACAGTTACAAGGAAAGCTGTGAGAATTTCCTTTTTAATAAAAGAAAAGTGAAAAACCCGAGTCTCTGCACATGGAGAGAAATATGAATGTTTCATTTTCCAAAGCATAAAAGATTACATCTAATTGGTGACTATGGGTAACAACTCTTTGTAGTGATATCTTTTAGTTATCTTTTTTTTGGTAAAAATAACATATAGAGCAGTCTCTCTTTTTAGTATGACCTAGCTCTTTGTTTTTTATTTGATATTTGATGAAAAGAAGCAGTACAAAACAGAAAGTCTTATGTATTATAGTGTAATTAGCCTTCGAATCCTATTGCCGTAAGCCTATCCATAAACCTATCCATCTCCGTTGCAAAAAAACTTGTGCAACCTATTCATTTCACTACTCAGTTCCACGCACAATATAAGAAAATGGAAAACATCTTGCGAAAGCATTGGTCTATGCTTTTAGAAGACCCTTTCCTCCAAACATCCCTTACCCAAAACCCAAAAGTCTGATACCAGAAAGCCAAAAGCAAAAGTGATAAAAAAAACTTTATAAAGATGGAACTGCAACCATCAAACAGAGACGTACTGTCAAAGTTAGAACTTCGACAGGAGCATCTTCTGATGAGAAGGGCTGAAGAAAATCGCCATGCAAGTTCACCGTAGTTAGCTAAAGAAGTAGAAAGCCAAACTGGGTTGATTATTTCCCGTGACACAATACAGCCTACACTGCAGAGGAATAGCATGCATAGGTGTTGTCCATGAAGGAAGCCTCTCCTAAAACCCATGCACAAAAAAGCCTGCCTAGAATTTGCCAGGGCCCATGCTGAAAAAGAAGAAGACTACTGGGACTCTACTCTGGAGTGATGAGACCAAGATAAATGTTTTCAAAACTGTCGCAAAGGTGAGGAGTACAAAGAAAAATGCTTGGTGCCTACTGTCACGTACCTGGATAGTGAGTCTGACGTGAAAAGGCAGGCCTCCCGTACAACCTCGGCTCAAGGACCGCTGATGGTGAGACAGCGGTCGCAGGGGCACAGTGGGGTATGAGTGCCTGAGATCAGTCCGATAATAGCTGGTGGACTGATGAGTTGCAGGCCAGAGCAGGGTGCAGATGTAGCCGTGCGGGATGGATGGATGCTGGAGCACAGCGTGCTAAGGATGCAGAGTCAGACAAGCCGGGTTCAATATTGGCGAGGCAGATCAGGCTTATAGCGGCAGGAGGAAGAGTAGTCGGGTCACAGGCCAGGTTCAGTAACAGAAGATCAATCAGACAGGAGCAGGCAGAAGAATAATCCGAGGACAAGCCAGAGGTCAGGGCAGGAGGCAATCAAGCAGAAGTCAGGAACAGGCTGGTTTGGCAACAGGAATCAATCACGGAAGCCAGGAACACAAGCAGGGGAAAATACCATAGGGCAATGAGATAACCACAGCAGACAGTTTAAATAGCCCTCTTGGCGCCAGCATTAGTGACAGGTGCGTGCCCGCATGCACGAGTGTGCATGCGTGCGCACAAGTGCGTGCGGCTATGCCCAAGTGCCTGCATATCTGCTCGGCTTGCAAGGACTCTGCACATGCGCATATTTGTGCGCCGCGGAGCTTTACCTGCACTATGGGCAGGCCTTTCCTGACACCTACATTGAAAATGTGGTGGTGGCAGTGTCCTTCTGTGGGGCTGCATGAGTGCTGCTGGTGTCAGGGAGCTGCGTTTCATCAATGGTATCATGATTTCACAATTGTACTGCTCTATATTGAAAGAGGAGATGCTACCATCACTCCGTGCCCTTGGTCATTATGCACTTTTCCAACATGACAATGATCCAAAACACACATCTAAGGCCACTTGCATTTCTGAAGAACAGGGTGAAAGTGATTCAGTGGCCAAGTATGTCTCCTGATCTGAACCCAATCGAACACCTATGGGGAATTCTGAAGAGGCAAGTTGAGCATTACTCTCCATCCAGCATTCAGGCTCTAAAAGAGGTCGTTCTTGAAGGATGGAAAAAGATAGATGTTGCAATATGTCGCCAAAGTGTTCATTCCGTGCCTAGAAGACTTGGTACTGTCCTTACAAATCATGGAGGTCATACAAAATACTAGATGTAGTAGTTTTTGTTGTGGGGTGTATTCATTCTTACATCAACTAATTTGACTAAAACTGAAGATTTTGTAACTTATATTATTAACCTTACTTTCATGTAATGAGCTAAACAAATATTCTAAAAAACACAGTTTTGTCCAAATTTTGGAAATTGTTCTTTTGTTCACTGAGATTTTGATTAAAATCTTACTTTTCAAAAGGGTGTAATCATTTATGCTGAGCACTGTATAACAGCTCCAGGAGTGTCCTGTAGAAGGAGCAAGAGGCTCTGAGCGCGTAGCCAGTAATCTCTACAATCCTCTTCCAGTCCTCCTTGTTCCTCCGGTGACGTCATATCTGTCCGTCCGGAGGGTGCTGGGGTGGGCTATCCCCCAAAGCCAACCCTAACCTGCCACTACACTACTCTAAGCTGCCACAATGCTGCCCTAAATTGACACAATATCACCCTAATCTGATACTTTACCGCCCTAGCTTGACACTATACTGTCATTGACTGACACTATACTTATCTCCGTTATGCATTGGGTGAGGTGGAGGAGCTGTGCCCCTGTTCTCTGCCCTGCTGACCTCCCATCCTTTGCCCCCCTGATATTTTTTACTGCACCCCCACATTGGACAAGCTCGATCCGGCCCTGTCGTGTGTTCCATGTTCTGCATTAGACATTCTGCCTTGCTTCCGTCTCTAGCACTACCATCGGAAACTGGGGACGGAGATGAGAGATCACTCATGGACATGCAGATGTTCTTGTTATCTACTTATCTCTGTGAGTGCTTTTAATCATGTGATAATAAGGTTTACAAAATACTGCACTTAGTGGTGCCCTCCTTTTCTCTCTCATACAACACCCATATATCGATGGAATGACTGTAATATGGTCCGATATTACCAACCACTGAACATGTTTATATGTGGCAAACACTTTTTCAAGTTTAAGACCAGGACTGTCAACGGTAAAGCATGGTGGTGGCGCAATCATGGTTTGGGCAGCCACATCTTGATGTTCTGCAGGCCCCATCATCACCTTGAAAAATAGAGTCTCTGCCAGCAACTATATACAAATATGGAAACCCTTAGGATCAGTAATTACATTTTTTATATATATATATATATATATATACATATACATATACATACATACACACACTTTAAGGGCATCCCAGTCTTAATCCGTACGGTTCAATATTGAGTTGGCCCACCCTTTGCAGCTATAACAGATTCACCTCTTCTGGGAAGGCCATCCACAAGGTTTAGGAGTGTGTCTATGGGAATATTTGACCATTCTTCCAGAAGCACATTTGTGAGGCCAGGCACTGATGTCGGATGAGAAGTCCTGGCTCGCAGTCTCCGCTCTAATTCATCCCAAAGGTGTTCTATTGGGTTGAGGTCAGGACTCTGTGCAGGCCAGTCAAGTTCCTCCACCCCAAACTGGCTCATTCATGTCTTTATGGACCTTGCTTTGTGCACTGGTGTGCAGTCTTGTTGTAACAGGAAGTGGCCATCCCCAAACTGTTCCCACAAAACTGGGAGAATGAAATTGTCCAAAATGTCTTGGTATGCTGGTGCCTTAAAAGCTCCCTTCACTGGAACTAAGGGGCCAAGCCCAACCCCTGAAAAACAACCCCACACTATAATCCCCCCTCCACCAAACTTTACACTTGGCACAATGCAGTAAGGCAAGTACCGTTCTCCTGGCAACCGTCAAGCCCAGATACATCCATCGGATTGCCAGACAGAGAAGCGTGATTCATCACTCCAGAGAACACATCTCCACTGCTCCAGAGTCCAGTGGCGGCGTGCTTTACACCTTGGCATCCGACGCTTTGCATTGCACTTGGTGATGTAAGACTTGGATGCAGCTGCTCCGCCATGGAAACCCATTCCATGAAGCTCTCTATGCAGTGTTGTGCTAATCTGAAGGCCACACGAAGTTTGGAGCTCTTTAGCTACTGACTCTGCAGACATTTGGCGACTTCTGCACACTGTAGGCTTCAGCGTGCGCTGACCCCGCTCTGTCATTTTACATGGCCTACCATGTAGCTGAGTTGCTGTTGTTCCCAGTTGCTTCCACTTTGTTATAATAACACTAACAGTTGACCGTGGAATATTTAGTAGCAAGAAAATTTCATGGATGGACTTATTGCACAGATGGCAGCCTATAACAGTAGCATGCTTGAATTCACTGAGCTTCTGAGAGCGATCCATTCTTTCACAAATGTTTACAGTCTGCATGCCTAGGTGCTTGATTTTATACATCTGTGGCCATGGGGGTGATTGGAACACCCAAATCCAATACTTTTGGCAATATGGTGTTGTCAAATTGTGATTTGATGAGTATGCAGACAAAGCCTTGCACCTTCCCTGGGTCCTGCAGTCACCAGACCTGAATATCATAGAGCAACTATGGTCAATTTTGGAGAACAAGCTTTGGGCTAGTTTTCTGCCTCTGGTATCTCTGTGAGAACTGGAATGATTTTTGCATGAAGTGATATCAGATGCCATTATCCACCACTCAAGACTTATATTCGTCAATTCCCTGGAGAATTTAGGCCTCCAAAGGCAGTCCAACACTATGTTTGGTAACGATTTTGTTCTTTTATCTGGTGTTTCCATAATTCCATATATTATGTCTACAGCTCAAGGCACATTGGCATGAGTGGGCCCCATGGGGTCCGCAGGGAAGCCCAGGCCCAGCGGTGGATGCCTGTAGGTGGCCCCAGTGCAGCATTACTCCAGCAGAGTGCAAGAGCACATAGCTCTGCCTCTCTCCATGATCAACTGGGGGGAGGGCCCTAGAGTTGCAACCTCATCCCTTTAAAACCGAACATGTATTAATTACACAGGTTCTGTGGCTGATTAAGGTGGTAATTAAACTCACTTAGTGCCTTATCTGCATTAAATTAGCCTCATAACCTGTGTAATTAATATGTATTTGGTTTTAAAAGGATGAGGTGGCAACCCTAGAGGGACCTGTCAAGTAGGATGTACTGGGCCCCATGATTTTTAATGGCAGCCCTGTGTGGACCCCTCCTTCCAAATATGGCAGCTGAAATATCGCTTATGCCCCTGTGATGACCTCACGGGGGCTAAGAAGGGGAATAAAACAACGTTGGAACAAGGTAGGTCAAACATTTTAAAAGAAGGATGCTAAGCAAGCATTTTTTTTTTTACTGTTGTCCCAAGATGGCATTTAAATTAGTGAGGAACGTATGAAATTGTGATTGTCTTTTTGCAGATGTCTTTGTCACTAACATATTTGTTCAAAACTTGTATCCACAGGGTGAAGTTTTTGAAACTGCACACCGTGCTACACCACCATTTTCCCCACCATCACTGTCTCTACCAGATGATCACAACCTGATGGTCTACATTGCTGTCTCTGATTACTTATTTAATACAGCTGGGTTTGTGTATCAGTCAGCTGGAAAGCTTGTCTTCAATGTGACTGATGACATGGTAAGAAAGCCAATTATAAAAATACTGCATACACCATTTACCGAACAGTGATTTTGTGTAATAGGCCAGTAAAATCAGCAAGAGTATTTTATGCCTGAATCAACCTGTTCTGAAATCTGGAAAATGTATTGTTACACCATGCTTTCAGTAATTACTTGGATCGTGGAAACACATTATGATCGTAAAGGATTACTGGTAGCCATTGTTCAATGCATAAAATAGAAAGCCACATGTGTTTAAAGCCCAATAGCATTTTTTTTCTATAAACGAGACAACATAAAAAATAAACGTAACCACTTCAAGTCTGGGCACTTTCACCCCCTATCTGTCCAGGCCAATTTTCAGCTTTCAGTGCTGTCACACTTTGAATGACAATTGCACGGTCATGCAACACTGTACCCATATGACTTTTTTTAGCATTTTTTTAGACAGATAAAACTGTATTTTGTTGGTACTTATTCACCACGGGGATTTTTATTTTTTTGCTATATAAATGAAAAAGTCCAAACATTTTGAAAAAAAAGTGTTTTTCCTATAAACTTTTGCAAATAAATAATCTTTCTTCATAAATCTTGGCCAAAATGTATTCAGCTATCTTTTTAGAAAAAAAAAAATAACCCAAATTAGTTTATAACCAAAAAGTATAATTTTTAAAACATTTTTTTTTACATTTTTATTTTATTTTTGTATATTATTATTTATGTTTTTTTAACATACTGTCACCCTAGCAGTACAGTGTCACCATAGTGACACTGTACTACTTGTGGAGGGTGATGATGATTTTTTTTATTTTTTACACTGATTGCTTTTACACACACAAAGGCTGTAAAAGCAATCATTTCTCCTTCTCTCTGGCTGCATTCTTGCAGCCATTGAGAAATACTGTGAGAGCTGTGATTGGTCACAGCTTATCACATGGTACAATGCTGTTGTGAATAGCCTTGTACCATGTGACCTCTGTGATCATTCACAGATTTTACTAGGAGTAAGCACAGGGGCGGACTGACAACTCATGGGGCCCCCGGGCAACAGTGGATCATGGGGCTCCTGTGTCCTTGCCCAAACTCAAAAAAGCCTATGAAAAAGGTACCAGGGGCATCTCATGGGGCCCCCTACTGACCCCGGGCCCTCGGGCAGTGCCCGAGTTTCCAAATGGTCAGTCCGCCCCTGAGTAAGCAATGATATCAGAAAGTGACATCTTGCTTACTACTATTCATGTGATCAGTGATTGGCCAATCAGTGATCACATGATCAAGACCTCACATGGATCACGGTGCCACGCGTTCCCAGGGAGCAGGCAGGGAAGCGGGAGGACATTTACAAACGACCACCCGCTCCTGCACTGCTCCCGTCCAGCTGTTTATGTACATGGGCCAGAGGGGAAGTGGTTAAATAAATTTAATATTGCTCCAAACTAATACCTAGCAGCTGCTGCAGTGGTAGCATGCTGAATATCCAGAACATAATTAAAGCAGTCTGGATCTAAGAAGTCCCATGTACCCCTGCAGAGTCATAACTGCTGTGCTCCAATCAACAGCAATCATAGGGGTTGATTTATTAAAGGCAAATAGACTGTGCACTTTGCAAAGTGCAGTTGCCCTATGCAAGTGCAGTTTCTCCAGAGCTTAGTAAATGAGGTAAAGCTTCAAAGAAAAATAAATATGCAAAGAATACCCAATCATGTGCAAGGAACAAAAAACCATTTTGCTTGCACATGATTGGATGATGGACCTCAGAAGAGCTTCTGCTCATTTACTAGACTCTGGAGCAACTGCACTTGCAAAGTGCACAGTCTATTTGCCTTTAGTAAATGAACCCCTTGCTGTCTGAGAAGTGTGTTGTTGATTGGAGCACTGTGCGGGAAGACGTGTCTGACTACTGAAATCAGAAGCGCTGCTCTCACATTTCTCTCTCTGCTTTCATCACAGATTGCATCAATCCATGTATCTAGCATGCTGCCAGGGGAGGGCTGCTAAGCATTAGTTATGAGCATTTTTGCATTTATTAAAAGAAAGAAGAAAAAAAACACAACAAATAGTTTATTTATATACAGCCTCATTTCATAGGTACATTAAAAAAATACAGCTTCAACTAGGCTTTAAAGTGGTTGTAAAGGCTCAAGGCCTTCATGCCATCTATGCATGAAGGTAAAAAACCTTCTCTGTGCAGCAGCCCCCCCAATCACCTCAGCCCCTTCTTGATGCAGCAAAATGCACTGGAGTTTCGGCTATCCCAGGACTCCCTCTCCTCATTGGCTGAGACAAAGTGGGAGCCAATGACTCCCACTGCTGTCAATCACAGCAATAAACCAATGAGAAGAGAGAGAGGGCAGGGCCGAGCCACGGCTGTGTGTGTGAATGGACACACGGAGCAGCGGGTGCCCCCATAGCAAGCTGCTTGCTGTGGGGGCACCTGACAGGAGGGAGGGGCCAGGGCCACTGGCGGGGGACCTGAGAAGAGGAGGATCTGGGCTGCTCTGTGTAAAAACCACTGCACACATCAGGCAAGTATGACATGTTTGTTATTAAAAAATAAATAAAAAATAAGCCTTTAGAATCACTTTAAGGCACAGAGTTGCAAATTAACCCAGAATATATGTTAAAAATATGTGGATTACCTTTTATAAAGATAGAGAACAATCATAAACAATGTGTTGTTTATTCTTTTATTAAGAATAAAAGAAAAGGCATCTCAACCTATATTTGTAAATGCAAGAATAGGCAAAATCAACTTAAAGCTAGGTTCACACCTATGCAGTTTGCGTTTGATCCGTTTCTGCAGTACGTTTTGCGTTTGTGTTTTGCATTTTTGCACTTGCGTTTTTGCTGCGCTTTGCTTTTTTTTTATTTTTCTTGCTAGGCAGATTTAAAATTCAAAACACATCAAAAACTCAGCAAAAATGCACTACATGCATTTCTGCAGCATTTCCATTGAAGTCTATAGAACCAAAAATGCAACTTTGTGCGTTCAAAAAAGTCCCTGACCCTTTCCAAAACACACCGGGTGAAAACAGGGAGATGTGAACATGTCCCATTGGAAATCATGTTAAATGGACTGTACTGCGTTTCTTCAAAACGCTGCGGAAAACGCTTAGGTGTGAACCTGGGGTAAAGCTGAACTCCAAGAATTAGTTAAACTCTGTCCTTGACGTTGACTTATGTGTTGTTATTTCTTCATATACTGTAGGTTCCAAAAAGTTCTCCAATGAGACTGAACACCTCGGCTATTGGAGTATTTATACCACAGGTAACGTATGATAGCCTGATTTGGGGCATAGTGGAATTTTAGCTCCTTGTGATGGCTAAAAATGTGTAATATATTTGGGTAGATATTTGGAACTATTGGTGACCTTTTCTTTTAATTTGAGGATCACAGTAGCATCTGTATTTGTCCTATTCTATTGGTCACAGCTATGTGGTACCTCTTAGCCCTCATGCACACGGGGCGTTTTGATAATGCTGGTAATGTTAGCTGTGTAAAGTCATGTTAAAAACAAGTTTTTCAGCTTTTTTTTAGCAATTTTGCATTAGCGTATAGCTGCGTTTTGCTGCAATTAGCGGTGTTTTCCCGCATTTGCTTTTTTAGCTTTTTTTTACCAAAAAAAATATTTTTTTTTGGTCAAAAAAAACTCCAAAAAGCTGGTTTTCAGTGTTTTGGTGTTTTGCTGCATTTTTCAGCGTTAGAGCATTTTTACAGCTAAAAAACACCTCTAGAAACCCACTAGTCCTGGGGTTTTTTTCCAGCCAAAAAAGATTGATTAGTCTATCTGTGAATGGACACATAGGATAACATGCCGAGGGGTTTACTAGCTGTAGAAAAAAATGTCAAAGCCCAAAACAGCAGTTGTAAAAAGATCAAGTCTGCATGAGGACTTAGGCTAGGTCAGTGTTTTCTCAACTCCAGTCCTCATGGACCCCCAACAGGTCATGTTTTCAGGATTTCCATTATTTTGCACAGGTGATTTGATCAGTTTCACTGCCTTATTAATTACCACAGCTGTTTCATCTGAGGGAAATCCTGAAAACATGACCTGTTGGGGGTCCATGAGGACTGGAGTTGAGAAACACTGGGCTAGGTTCACATATGTGTGGGTGGTGCCGCTGCGGATACACACAAAGATCCGTGCAGCTGCACCACCCACACAGAAGAATGCGGACCTGCGGGCGGGTGCCATTATTTCTAATGGCACGCCGCCCGCAATGGATATCGCAACCCGACTGGGAACTGAGGTTCCTGTGTGGGCTGCATTTTCAGAAGAAGTGCAGGGACTTCTTCCCTGCGTGTCCCGGGGCGCGGGAGTCCATTCAAATGAATGGGCTCTCATGCCCGCACAAAACGCGGCCCGCAGGAACGCGGATATGTGTACCAGGGCTAATAGTCTAATCTACTTCAGAGATCTGGCAACCACTCTTATTGTAGGCCCCAGTATTCTCCGAAAGGCACATGGGAACTTTACATAGCACAGCTGAAATGCTCCCTTGCATTATGAACAGCTATGCCTTTCTGATAAGTACCTTCTTCAAATTCAGATAGCAGGCATGGTGTTAAAGTAGAACTATGCTCTCCCATTAAATAAATGCAACACTTAAAATGTATCTGCACTTACAATTTTCTTTTGGTCCCCCTGCAAAGTCCCACAGATACCTGATAACTTTACCAGTGGAAGTCCACCTGTGGCTCCATTCACATTTGTGCAACCAGTCATATGACTCTAAACACTAAAGTTGCATGATAAGTCGTTCCCCATGTTTACAATGACAACCATTCAAATATGTACGACTTAAAGTTGCAGCGACTTCAAAGTAGTCCATGCACTACTTTGGCGTGACTTTCATGCAACTTGAGTGCCATAGGCTGCAATGTAAACCCTCAAAGGTCCTATGAAAGTTGTGGCTGAAATGTTGTACATGCAACAGTTGTCCATTATCATTAATGAAAGCCAAAGTCGTATCCAAGTTGCACCCATCCAAGGTTGCATCAAACTTGCATCAAAGCCGTAAGTCGTACGAATTTGGAGTCGTACAAGTGTCAATGGAACCTAATACAGATTCATGTTATGGTGTGACAACATTGCTGCACTGTCCCTGAGATGGGGGTGGGGGGTAAAGAAAATGTTGCAGGGGGTGTGGCTATCAACATTGTCACTGCAGTCAATAACTAGCCACACCTAGTCCACATTAAACCAACCTGCAATTTTTTTTACATGTATCAGGGGCTGTATTTATTAAAGTGTTACTAAACCCACAATAGCAAAATCAGTCTGTATATGCAGTAAAGCATGCTTGTTATACTCACTGTGGAACCTAAGGGGTTAATCCTCTGTATTGTGTAAAAATGCTGTTTGATCCCGACTCTGATCCTCACCTTCTTCCAGTAACCCCCTATTATCTCCTGATAAGACATTTCGTGTGGAGTCACTCTGCACATGCATAGTTTGGTGTGTATTGCTAGAGAGTTTTTTTTTTTTTTTTCTTGTGATCAGCACAGGGCCAATCAGCACTGTCCAGACAGAGGTCAGGGCTCCTGCAGCCTCCTAGAGAAGAAAAAAAACTCCTCCTACAAGCTTTACCATGTGCTCTGCTGGACAATGAGAGCAGCCATAAGACTGCTCTAAACTGCTGAAAAGATATTTAACAGTTTATATTTACTAAAATACTGGAGTGTGGGGTCTTGTGAGGTACTATGGTTTATACAAAGTGCTAGTGAATATTTAAATAATTAAATATTTGAAAAATTAAATAATACTAAACTTAATGTGAAACCAAAGCAATCGTGAAAATAAAATAAAATTGTGTGTAAAAATTGTGAAGAAATGTGGTTCGCTTATACTCTACACATACTCATACCATTGTGTTATAGAGAATACAGTCAAAAATACCACTACCAATTGCAATAATAAAATTTTGAATTAATATAAAGTAAAAAAATAAATAAATAAAAGTCCAGCATCAAAAAATATATATCAATATCACTGCAATTATATTACTGCTGCAAACATGTCCTTATTAAGTCCATGACTTTGATACTTCTGTGATACAAAAAAAATAACCCTCCCCTACATGTTACGTCATCAGGTCACGTGGCTTCATCAGGGGGTAGTGGAGCGCGACACTATTTTCGGCTATATTATATTTACTAAAATAATTGCACTTCCATGTCCTGTGTACTGTGGGAGACCAGATATTGTGAACACAGGGTCCTGGGTTAGTAACGCTTTAAATGTCTGCCTTGATGCATCTTTTTGCAAAATTCTATTTAAAAAGACAGTGTTATTTATCTTTCAGTCACACTCATGAAGAACTTTCTTATGTTTTTTTTCCAGTTGGCAAAAGATGTACCCAGATATGCTCATGAAGCTTATGATTACCTCACATTCTGCCCCATCTCTGAATATCAACCCAGGAAGTGTGAGCATGGCACCACTGCTGGACATTCAGGCCTATGCAATACTGCCAAATTCTTCCCTGGCTCCTCTGTTCCTTTTAAGCCTGGTCAGTAATTTCCTTTATGAATATTAATTCATGCTAAGGTGATGTTAATATGTTTTCCCTGTTCTTTCCATACTCTTGGATATAGCAGGAAATAGTTGAAACTCCAGATATAACTATTTTTTGTGTCTTTGTCCCAACTGGGGGGTGGTCCTTTTAGAGGAAATTTCTCCAAAATTCCCACTTTCACACCATTTATTTGCAATAACATGCATGCTACTGTGCTTGCTACCGCAGTGGATGGCGATGCACATTCAGTGCACTGGTGTGATGCATTGTTAATAACTGTGAATGGCACCCTACACCTGCCAATGGGCATGCACTGGGCACAGCCACCAGCAAGGCTGCTTTTAGAAATCACGGGGCCCCATACAGCCTACCTGACAGGGTCCCCTCCTTCCCTTCCAAACATTTTCAAATTATTTTTTCGCTAAAATACCATGACGTTATGCTTCACAGCCATGGTAGAAATTATACCTCCATCAAACAAGGCCCATTCCGGTGAATGGCACTGCCCTTCAAGCGACCCGTTGCACTAGTGCGCGGTTAAAGTAGGCGGTGAGGAGGTAATATGGGTCGGGGAACAGATACTGATCTCCCTTGCAGCAAAACTGGAAGGAGAAGAAGGAGGTGAAGCCGGCAGTGCTGCAGGGGGAACCACAAGAGTCAGCAGTACAGCTGGCCCTCCACCTTGGTAGGTGCCCGGACCTCCCTTTGAGAACTGAGGGGGCCCAGTCCCCATACAGGAGGGCCAGCTGTACTGCCTTATTAACTGCCGGATTGCTTCCATCTGACAGCCAGCAATCAGCTTGTCAGATTTACACAAACTTCCGGAAGCTGCTGCTGCCAAGAGTGTATGTAAAACTCTCTGCTGGCACTGACATACAATACACTGGTTGCAGTAATTTAGTCCCAGAGATCAACAGAAAAAATAGAAATGTTGACTCTCCCTAACGGGGAATGGGGACGCAGACAGCAGACCCCAAAGGACTAATTTACACCAGATACAGCTGAATACGGTTTTAAATGTAGAACAAACGCATATGCATGAAATATTAATGTATTTCAATGAGCCTACTTTACAACATTGTGGTCCTTTCATATGCATTTAAAAATGTACGCCATGCTGTGTATTTTTGCTTGTAGACACTGCAATGTATGTTATCGCACTGCAAATGCATGGAAATTCAACTCAAATGTCACTCAGGTGCAAAATGTAAATGTGTATGTGGAACTGCACGCTGCAGGTGGGGATTGTGGACTAACACCCCGGTCACACTGGATGTGAATTGGCATGCGAATTGCATGCCATGAGATTTGCAAACAGAATGCCAAGTCACACGCTATTGTCCACATTTCCAGAGGTCATATCGGTGCGGTTCCGACTTCGTCGGAGCCGCACCAATTTCAAAAGTAGTACATGCACTACTTTTGGTGCGATTTGCATAGACATCTGTATCAGATGTCTTGCAAATCACACTTGAAATCGGCAGGTCCCCCGACTTTGAAATTGTGTGACTTCAATGTAAGTCGCACAATTTCAAAGTCGGGTTTGATGTGACCGGGGTGTAAGTGTAGTTCCCACCACTTCCCACTCTATTAAAAAAAAAAAATACTTTGGCTTTAACTAAACTTTTAGCTGTCTTGGCTGAGTGCATTTTCACATGTCACTTTACCAGAAAAAAAACCTGTGCTGAAAGGAATATCTTTTGTTAATTGAGTGGGCACCGAGCCATGTAATTAGAGCCATTAAGGAAATGTGCTGAGAAAAATACATTGCTATAATTGCTGACATTGCTAACCGTTTTTTTCTGAAAATGCAAGTTGACTGACTACAATGCTGTTCCAAGGGCTTCCTAGAACAAAAACATACTGATGATTGATATTATCACTGAACATCACTGGCTGCATTCTTGTTCCCAGTTAGCAACAAAAGGTAAAAAAAAACCCCAAAAACACCCAGATATTAGCATTTCCAAAAAGTGGTCAGCAATGACAGCCACCAGCTTAGCATAGGTTTCTTTACATTGCTTTTTTTGATTTGCTATTACCTTGTTTGCTGACATGTAAATCTCATTAACAGAAAACCGATATGTTGGCAAATGTTGCAGTAAACTCTAGCAGGATTGTGGGAAAACTGAAACTTAGCAGGTAAATAGTAAATATATTATTAACAAAAAATGAGCTGCGCTTCACTCAATAATACTAAATTCAAATAATAAATACATCCATGTACTTCTATTAATAATAAGTGTCAAAATAATATATTAAATAAATAAACCAATATCAGTAAACAAAAGCAATGTCCATATACATGTCAAAAAAAGTCCATATATACTTCTTCAGAAATACGTGTTCCCTTAACATGAAATGAATATCCAGTGTTTCTTAATTGATCTCCTGTGTGAAAATAACAAATTTGTGTGCTCCTCCACCAGTTGTGCTGTCACCTCAGAAATATGACCAAACTGTTAAGTGAGGTCATATAATTATTATTATACAGGATTTATATAGCGCCAAGAGTTTGCTCAGCGCTTTACAATATAAATATGCTTGTGTCCCTTTAAATGGGCCAAATTGTGGATGGGATGGTACCCTGCTGTTTGGGATCCCACTTCACTCGATCGATAGGCTCTCCTTCCATGGTGGTTTATTTAGAGGAATAATCAAATCATAGTGTTTTATCCTTTTATAAACATTTTATTATTAAAAGTGATGCACTCACATAATATCTGTATATAAACCACTTTGTGCACAAAATGTATCCTCCAGAGTTTTTGGTAGTAGTGAAAATCCTAAAATTACCAGCTGGTGTCAGTATGGAACCATCGAGCATAGTGAGATCAAAGTCCTTCCCCTACGCGTTACGCCACCGGTCATGTTGCTTTAGTAGGGGGAATCAAATAAGCACTCTGGGCTATTCATTACTTATATAGCAGCTCACAAACCTTCACTTTTATACTTTTTTTAAATAGTAAATATATACTGTATATGTATGTGTGTGTGTGTACATATATACAGTATATATATATATATATATATATATTTGTATTTACATATGTAAATATATTAAATATATATATATTATACAAAATATATAAATGTATCAATACATTTTAAAAATGTGATACATTTATACATTTACAAATAGTTTTTCTTATACTGCAAGAAAAGAATATTAAAAAAAAAAAAACGTGCCTCTCCATCTTTCAGAACTAGTCAGCTAACCAACCCATCCTGCCAAACATGTAAGCTGTTTTCCCCATAATAAGGAAGTGGCGCGCATGCAGCCCCCCTGCTATTTGGATACCACTTTAGCTTTGAGAAGGTCTTTGAGAAAGGTTTCCCTAAAACTTATGTCTCATGCTGCAATGGGAGATTAAATAAACAGGGGAGAAAAGGAATACAGCTTTTGACTTTTATACCATATTCCCAATGGTGGGAATTTACTAAAACTGGATCAAGAATCTGGAACAACTGTACATAGCAACCAATGAGCTTCTAACTTCAGCATGTTCATTTAAGCTTTGAAAATGAAAGCTAGAAGCTGATTGGTTGCCATGCACAGCTGCTCCAGGTTCTGACTGCTCTAGTCTTAGGAAATTCCCCCTAATGTGCTCAGCAGAACCAATTAAAAAAGATATCTTGTAATTGAGAACACTGCAGAAAAGTCAGGCTGCATCTTATGTGCATTGTCCTATATTTTGCCATTAACGTCAATCCATATGGAGTGTTTATAAAATGCCAGGCAGCTAACACCCTTTCTGTCTGCTCAAATTTGCAATAGCTCTTGGTAACTGAGGTTTGAGATAGGGTTACCCAAAAGACCTGAACATTAGTCTCAAAATGTTCCCTGTGAGATTAGGTACTTATATTCACATTCCATAGGGCCTTATAGTTAACACCTGCAGTTCGGGATGTATCACTTTATACACACTGCCTATAGTATCCTCACCCTTAAATAAAATAAATATGGATGGGAGACTGAATACTCTATACCTAGATAATACTCTACAGTATATCTATAATGCAGGAATAACCAAGTACGTATATAAGGTAATGTGTTTCTTTTATTATCAGACAAGGGGACATTATTTATAAAGCTTCCAGATCATGCTGTTTTTTTTTGTTTTTTTTTTAATTTAGGGTAGTTATTGAGCTGAAACAATCTGATGTAGGACCTTTCCCGGTGAGTATACATTGACCAGGTGGTATAACTTGAGTCAATAAATTGGTATCATTGTGTTTAACCAAAAAAAGCTCTTCTCACCAGTTAGGATACTTATTTTTACCAGCAAATTCAGCTGTTTCAAAGTGAGGTTATGTGCAGGTACATGTAATGCTGGCCATATTTGAATTACTGTTGCCTTTCTATGCAAAGTTTTACCAGATTTTGCATGCTCCAGTTTTAGTAAATCTCTACCATTAGCTTGTTGCATTGATTATTTGTTCTGATAAAATAAACATCTGAATAATTTATGCCTCGCACTTGTTACTTTAAACCTCTGGATCTCTCTCACCACGCTCTCCATGTTTAAGAGCAATTTAACCATTAGCATTGTTTCTAGAACATAAACCCATCTCCGCTCTATATAAATGAACCAACATTGGACTCAGTGCCTCTTAGACGCTTTACTGACCAAGAGGAATGTTTGGGAGAAGGGAGGGGGCAGGCAACTCCAGAAACACTTGGCATTTGCCTTAGAAAGCTGCTGCAGGTATGCGCTTAGTACCTTCACTTTATACCTGGGTAGTGCTACTCCTGAAGGGGCCACTGGAAATAACCCAGGTCTCCCTTACTGGTTCAGAGACTGCCATCCCAGGGAACTAGTTCCAGAGCACACCAACAAAATTCAGGTTCAGTCTATAGGTATCTTTTTCAAGATTTACTGCAGTACTTGAACACAAGCAGGTAGAAGATGAGGTTGTAGGGTGCTCCAAAACATGCATGTGCAGGAGGACAAATTCTCAGGCAAAGTCCTTCAGTAGCAGCCTTAGGTAATATTGGAGGTAAAGAAGACAGCCAGCTAGTCTGAGAATGTGTAAGAACAGTCACAGTCCTTGTAGCAACCTCTTGCATCTATCCCTCAAAGAACAATCATTCCTGAAGCTCTAGACAGAAGGTCCTATTCACAATGTCCAGAGACAGCTCCCCAACCAGTTTCCCTGTGATACTCTTCAGTGAAACTTCAGTGGAATTTTTCTCCAGCCCAGCTTCCTAAAGCATTGTCCTCCAGAAGATTTCTTTCAGGCCCTCAGCCAAGCACATGTTGAGTCCTAACAGCAGTAGCTCCTCCCAGGAGGCCCTAGGAAAAGAGACCTCTGAATATACCCTCCCAAACATTTATCTTCTCCCCAGCCATACCTTGTGGGTGCTCCTTCCCAGGGATTGGCTGAGGTCAGATAAATATTCATAATCCAGTGGCTGATCTTCCTACTCTATCTCTGGAAGCTTCTTCCAGAGGCAGCCAGGATCAATCAACCACCAGGATTAAGGATAGACCTGACCAGACCTAAAATATAAATTGCTGCTCAACTGAGAACAGTAGAGCCAAAAACTAAATTTTTTGAAGGTTAGAGGTCATGGCTCCATGTTGAACACCATGAGCGTTGGCTTCACCATTCCATAGATTAATCTACCACTAATAACGAGTCTGTGTCTGAAAAATTATATTGCAGGTGCTGCTTATAGAGACTGCTGTGAATATTTACCTCTCGAACTTCCTTCTTCCTAAAGTCAATGGTATGTACAAGAGCATTACGTATCTTTGGAATGTTTCTGTGTGTTAGCATGCCACTGTGCACTTTGGTTTTTTTCCCAGAAAATATAGAATGACAATCTTTCTTCTTCCTGATCATTTAGAAATGCTTAATAAGGGCTATCCCTTACCTTTACTGGACCATGTGCAGTTTGAAAACATTATTCTGAAGCAAAATGAAGTAAGTTAATACAATTTTACTACTTGAAGTACACATGACTCCAGTGTTTATAATTTTAAATAATATTGTACAGGGTGTCCCTAAAGTCTGGAAAAAACATATAGTTACTGATATATTCTGTGTCCAGACTTTACATTATAAAGACTTTGTGCCCACCCTGTACATTACAAGCTAATGTTGATTGCAAGTATATAGATTTTTTATTTTATTCTGTCTGTTATGCTTTTAATCCACTGTATCATGTATTGACTGAAAGTTGAAATTAAGCATGGTTTTACAAGCTGTAAGGCCATCAAGTTGAGGTTGAGCTCAATAACTGCTATTCTATTTACTACATACACTCCACAACAGTGTATTAATTTGACTTAAAGTGTAAGTTCTCCTTCTGGAAGATTTTAAAAATCCCCCTATGCAGTTCTTTTGTATATCCAATTATTAGTACATACCCAATAAACAGTACATACCAGGGCTTCTATTTTAAATGCTGAAGGTCCTCCATTACATGGGGAGCCCATTAGTGAAAAAAGAGGCCAGAGTTTTTTCCTGAGAGGCCCCAAGACCTGCACTTGTAATGGAGGACCTTCACCATTTACAACAGAAGGAGCTCTGGTATGTACTATTCTTTGGATATAGAACTGCATTGGAAGGATTTTTAACTTTGTGATAGGTTTACACAAAAGTCTTGTTTCATGGAAATAACAGAGAAAAAACACCACAAAAGACATATGGTGTAGTATATTTTAAAACAAAGACTTAATTGTAAAAACAATTAAAATGTACTCTCAAACTGTCAGAGGGCAAGGCTCATAATAACTGAGACAGAGGGACAACACAGGTGTAGCTGGAGCTGGTCTTCAGAAGTTCTCGCACGGATGGAGCAGGATGGACACTCTGCAAGTGCCAGGCCTGCCGGACCGCACAAGGAAGGAAGCCCGCCTAGGAGAGGCGCTTGTGGAGTGATGTCGTGGATAGAGACGCATCTCTAAGTGATTTCCTCTTTCTTCAGCCACCTGTGTGGCTCCTCTGCCTCATTGAAGATGATGACATTGCCAATGAATCCTTAGAGCAGTGACCTCATTTCCACTGATGTCCACAGGTCTTTGGCTCTAAAAGAGTTAACGCCCACCAGCTGTGCAGAGAGAAGCACATGCTGCACCTTTGTGGTCACATGACTGCTTGCAATAAGATTATGTAGCACTGCCCTCTTAGGATTCTCCAGGTTTTTGGGTCCCCCTATAGTCCTGCACAGCCAGGCAACTCGCATTTTCTTCAGACCTTGCACACAGGAGACAGTAAACAGTCCTTGAGCTTGTTTTTTTGGATTTTATTAAGAGATATTGACCTTGGATAGGGTTGAGGGGTGTATGGGATGCCCAGGGAAACTGGCAACTGAGGACAAACTCCTTAGCAACTATGCAACTAAGTCCAATAGACAACAAAGTCTCTTGGTTAGAGGAGCTCTCTAGCCCCCCAGGTGTACCACCTCAGACCCCAGATGAAATCTCCTTTTCACCCAGCTGCCTGAGGGAATCCTTGGGCAAGAGGGCCCAGAATCTGCCACTTTTGAGTCAGCAGTCCCAGATGGGGGTTAGTCAGGTTTCCCAACAGAATGCCCTCTTCGCTTATCCAGCCCAGGGGGTGTTGGATTGCTCACTCAGTCCTCTCCTGCAAACGTGGGTTGGTGGCTGCCTTCAGGCCTTACGCTGGGATGGCTCCTTCCCTGCTTCCCCGGCTGTCCTCTTGCAAGGGACGGTTGAGGCTGAGCTCCTGCCTGCAGGTGGACCCCTCTCCTGGGCCCCCTCCCAGGCTCCACACTCCAGCCTTCTCCCCTAATCTTCCACCTGAACTCTCCTGCCACTGGAGGCTCTATCACTTGTAAGGGCTGTCCTGACCCCATGCCAAGCCTCCTGCTTGGGGATTGGTCAGGATCCCTCAAGAGTGCAGACCAGCTCCTCCTCACCCCCGCCCCTGAGTTCTAGAGACTTTTGCAATATTTCTAGATCAGGGAGAGGTATCAGTGAGATGATCTGCAGAGCCTCTCAACCCTAACCCAAATGTGACCCTCTGACTGTCACTCAGGCTGCTCCCCCTAGGTATCTTGGAGGGTGCTACGACTGAAAAAGGTTTTAATATTTCAAAATGTAAAATTCCCATTTCATTAATTTAAAATTTACACTTAATTTTATTAGAAACTGTATGCAGCAAATACTGTATACGAACCACATGGGGCAACATTTAAAAGGTGGGTGCTATAAAAACCTCATGGGTGGCTATGGCAATAGCTTAGCCCAGCCTTTCTCAACCTTTTCAACGCAGAGGAACCCTTGATGTAACTTTACGGTCTCAGGGAACCTGTGGTAAAAATGGCTTTATCTACAATTCATGATACATTAGTGTGATAGTGAGAGGTAAGAATGCTCCTTACACTTGTGGTCATTGGGAAGAATTACCAGCTTACAGATTGCTAAGTAAGAACTTACCTGAGAGGTAAAAATTGCTAATTTCTCAAGGAACCCCTGGCAATCTCCTGGAGGAACCTAATTGAGAAACCCTGGTTTAGCCACTTGGCCCCATGTTACCTCCTACAGTGCATTCTAGCATTAGTTTTTACTAAAATAATCACATGACACAAGGGTCAGAGCTTATACAATAGGGTGTCATCATTCATATGTTCCTAGAGCTGTTTCCTAGATACAGTCATGTGCATCAGGTTGGTTTTGTTCACCCTGAAGCAAATGGCAGCTAAAAACTAGAATGCACTGAAAAAAACACCCATGTACACAATGTCCTGTTGGTTCACTTTAACAAATGACTGCATTTTTTTAATTTCTATTTTTGCAGCACTACCTGTTGTTGGGAGCTGATGTTCTCTATGGATGATCGATGGGTAATGACCAGTTTATCCAGAGAGTGTTATCAAGGTCCCATGAGTTCATCTATTTTTCTTCTATGGTCTGATGCTACAACACAAGACTGCTACATTTCTTGATCAAATTACCATGTGTGTCATTATACTATATGTGTATAGCATTATTCTTTTTCTAAAAGGAGGCAACGCAGAGAAATTGAGATCCACCATAAAAACACTGAAGAAACCAAAGATCCCTGGTGAGGGCACATTTTAAAGCTGGTGTGGCCAAATGAAAGTGGGTGTAGAAAGTGCATCGTGCATCCCCAGTAACATTCCCGCTTACACTGGTAGTCATGGGCCCCCCTCCACCTTATTATTATAGTGCCCAATTAACCTGCTTCCCGTTATAGTTCTTCTCATTATTATAGAATAAGTACTCCCAGCACCACCAATATGTCCCCAGAGTTCCACCTTGTCACCCCACCATGTCACCCCAGGGCCACCATTAAGTCCATCCCAGTGCCACCACATATATCCAGTAACAGCATTAAGTCCCCCCAGTGAAACCATGATGTCCCACATCAGAATTGCTTTCCTCCTGTTCCTCCCCCTCATATGCCGTGCAGTACAGGAAAGCGGAAGAGTGACACACATAGTTACCTGTTCTGCCACACTGGTCCCTTCTGATTTACCGCTCACATCCATCCTAAGAAGCTCATATATGACATCACATACAAGCCTCTAGGATAGGCACAAGAGAAAGATTTCTGGAACCAACATGGAACAACTAAAAACTCTTGAAACTGCTTCTTTGCTCAGCTCTGCATGTAGGATAGAAAGCAAATCTAAGAGAAGGTCATAAGGGTGGCAGTGAGATCACATGGCTGTGTTGAACGGGTAGATCGAGACCAGGGGCGGACTGACCATTTGGAAACTCAGGCACTGCCCTAGGGCCCAGGGTCAGTAGGGGGCCCCATGAGATGCCCCTGGTACCTTTTTCATAGGCTTTTTGAGTTTGGGCAAGAACACAAGGGCCCCATGATCCCCTATTTCCTGGGGGCCCCATGAGTTGTCAGTCCGCCCCTGATTGAGATCAACCTGTTGCCTACCACTATGCTGAACATTCTTGACTACAATGCCTTTATTGCTGTTTGTGTCTCCATTGTAGAAATCACCCCTTACATCCTATTCTTTCTGGCACCTGTCAAATGGAAACTATGTCTACCAAACAGGAACATATTTATGTATGACAGGTACTTATATAGCGCTGTCAATTTACATATATATTGTACATTCACATCAGTCCCTAACCCTCAAGGAGCGTACAATTTAATGTCCCTAACTCACATTCATACATATAAATGAAATGGCCAATTTAGACAGAAGTCAGTTAACCTACCGTCATGTCTTTGGAGTGTGGGAGAAAACCCGCACAGGCACAAACTCCAGGCTTATCCTAGTGTTGCCAGGTGGCAATGCTAACCACTTAGCCACGGAAAAACTGACCCTTCCCCACTCTATCCAAAACTAAAAAAATGTTGAAGTTAGTACTAAATACTGGTTTGTTTGTACAGACATTCTTTGGTTCTTCTACAAATAACTTCATACATTGATTATTCCTTATTGGATTAGAAAGCCATTGCAAAGTTGGTTTAGGTTTATTTCATACATTATAGTAGTATGCTTCAATAAAGTGAGGACATTTTTCTTTATCCAAAACTGCTGACATTGCTTGAGTTTAACTTTATGTAAATCCAATTAAAAATCTTATTAAATCTTTAACATACTAAAGCCTACATTTTTGTACAGTTTTTTTTTTTTACATTTTAACACAAGGGAAAATACTTACATTTAACGAGGAGCGACCCTTATGCTGATGCCAGCTTTCTTGGTTGAAATCAGAAGTTCTCTGCCCTCCCATACCCCTGCAACCATACTCTTCTGGTGCTGTAAGACTAAGTCCTTATGCACACTGGACGTTTTTACCCCCCATTCAAATATATGCGGCCCATGCGGGGAGCCCATTCATTTGAGACTCCCGTGCCCCGGGACACACAGGGAAGAAATCCCTGCACTTCTTTGGAAACTGCAGCCCTCACGGTAACCTCAGTTCCCAGTACGGTTGCGATTTCCAGTGCGGGTGGCGTGCCATTAGAATTAATGGCACCCACCCATGGGTCCGCATTCTTCTGTGCGGGTGGTGCGGCTGCTCGGATTATTGTGCGGATCCGCAGCAGCACCACCCGCACAGATGTGAACCAAGCCTTACAGCTGCTGTTTTTGGCTTTTGACGTTTTTTTTTTCTACAGCTAGCAAACCCCCCCAGCATGTTATCCTATGTGTCCATGCAAACATAGACTGTAATCAACGTTTTTAGGCAGGGATGTTTTTTGGCTGGAAAAAAACACAGGACTAGTGTGTTTCTATAGGAGTTTTTTAGCTGTAAAAATGCTCTAAAGCTGTAAAATGCTGCAAACCAGAGTTTTTGGATGTTTTTTTTAACCAAAAAAAAATTAATTTTTAGGTAAAAAAAATGCTAAAAACGCAAATGCGGAAAAAACGTGGGAAAACGCAGCTAAACGTGGCAAAATGCCGCTAAATGCTAATGCAAAAACGCTAAAAAAAGCTCAAAAACATTTTTAACGTGACTTTATACAGCTAATGTTACCAGCGTTATCAAAACACCCCGTGTGCATGGAGACTAATACAACAGCTGGCCTGTCACAGGCACTCATCAAGAGTGCCAATTAGGTCCGACCTTTCCGCCCCCCTCCTCTGCTCATAGAAGCTGTTCTATTGCTACTATTAATGAAAATGTTCCATGAATGGACATTGGGCAGAGGAATGAAAGGTCCATTTCCTCCATTCAAGATTACTTTTTCTTCATGGAAGCTATAGCAGAATTTAATTTGAAAAAGTTGTTTTCAGAATGTTAATTTGAATTTCCAGTGTTTATTGGGGTCAAAGCAATCAAATTTTTCTCGAACAAAATAAATTCTATTTGTGAATGTGGTTTTTGTATGGAAAAACTTATACTTATTGTGATCCGCATGTGCATTCCAAAATCGATTACACAATATTACACAACTTAGCCATGACAAGCAAATTACATTTTTTAGGGTTTTCATGCGAAATTTGTCAAATCCTTAATGATACTATTGAATGCCCCGATAAATTATTTTCATTTAAACAAACCACTACTGGTGTATGGTCAGTTTTGCAGTTGGTCTGTTAATAGTTAACTATAGATGCCGTATCCAGGTAGGGATAAGTTTAGGGGTTACAAAAAAAGAACACTCCAGTCAAAATAAAATATTAAGCTTTAGAATGTATACATGGAACCAGGGCCGGACTGACCATTTGGAAACTCGGGCACTGCCTGAGGGCTTATTATAGAATAAGTACTCAATATGTCCCCAGAGTTCCACCTTGTCACCCCACCATGTCACCCCAGGGCCACCATTAAGTCCATCCCAGTGCCACCACATATATCCAGTAACAGCATTAAGTCCCCCCAGTGAAACCATGATGTCCCACATCAGAAGTGCTTTCCTCCTGTTCCTCCCCTCATATGCCGTGCAGTACAGGAAAGCGGAAGAGTGACACACATAGTTACCTGTTCTGCCACACTGGTCCCTTCTGATTCACTGCTCACATCCATCCTAAGAAGCTTATATATGACATCACATACAAGCCTCTAGGATAGGCACAAGAGAAAGATTTCTGGAACCAACATGGAAAAACTAAAAACTCTTGAAATTGCTTCTTTGCTCAGCTCTGCATGTAGGATAGAAAGCAAATCTAAGAGAAGGTCATAAGGGTGGCAGTGAGATCACATGGCTGTGTTTAACGGGTAGATCGAGGGACTGACCATTTGGAAACTCAGGCACTGCCCGAGGGCCTGGGGGTCAGTAGGGGGCCCCATGAGATGCCCCTGGTACCTTTTTCATAGACTTTTTTGAGTTTGGGTAAGGACATAGGGGTCCCATGATCCCCTATTGCCCAGGGGCCCCATGAGTTGTCAGTCCGTCCCTGCATGGAACACAGCCTACATATATTGGTTTGTTCATTTTTCATCCAGACGTGACTGCAATGTGTCAGACCACCCCACCTATTCTGTCCTTAAAGGATAACTAAACGCAAGAACAGAAATACAATCTATTGCAGTTTACACTCTGTAAATGTGGTGGCTGCATTAGTTTTCTTTTTTTTTTTCAAGCTAAGAACATTTTCAGCAAATGCTGAAAATACCTATTGATTCTGCCAGAAATGCCTTGTCCTTGTAGCGTCCTGTGAGCTACACCAAAAAATATCTTCCTTCCTAGCTATGTTTCTCTACACTACCTATTGCCCTGCCTCCCATGTAATGAAGTTGAAGAGAATACAGACATAGTTGTAGTCCATATCAGGGAAGCAGCCTGGGGTGACAACCATGGCTCCCTCCATAGATACAGTGGAGGTGTGACATAGCCACCCAGGGACAGGAGTGCGGAATTTGCAGGATTACCAGGTGAAAATAAAGCAAAAGAAGCTTGAAAAAAGAAAAATGAATGCTTCCACCACACCATGGACAACTATGCTGCAATATATTACATTATTAGTTTGATTTTAGATCCACTTCAATAAATTTAACTAAACCCCAAAACAAAAATGTAATATATTGCAGCTTACCAGTCCTTTACACATATGGAGGCTGATTTAGTTTTTTTCTTCTATTATTATTTTCCTTTATTTTCACCCAATGATCCAGCCAATTATTTTTCAACTTCCTTTAACAGACCAGGCTGTCCAGCGAAAGTGGCAATTAGAGGGTTGAGACAAACCATTTACCACTGACAGCTTACAATGATTTGGTTTTGTTCATTTATGTTAAACCTCTACCCCAAAATAAAAAAAACCTGTTGCTGTAACTGCTTAGAAAGTGTAGAGAGTGTTAGTGTTAAAGATTTCAGCTTTAATTTGGCAGTTGAGTTCATCTAAATTTGCTAGTCTAACACTACCCTCTACCCAAATTGACAATGCTGCTGTC